TAACTTAATAATCAATAAATAATCAATAACTTATGAAAACCCCCCTTGAGTCAAACCATATAGCTTACGCATCAAGTTATTATTCTCAAGTAACTTATTATCTTTTTCATGTCAATAACCCTTCTCCCGATAATGATTATTGAAATAACTCAATCCAGGGGAAATTTTCTGCCTGGAAGCCTTAAGCACAATAATAAGTTATAGCAAGAACAATGGAAAATAAATTTAATATTATAAACTGGAATTAAATTAAGTTACATCAAATCCCTAGTATAAGAGTTTAGCTGGACATAGTAATTAAATTAAACTCAGTCATACTTGAATCATCTCAATCATGCTTGAATCATTCATTATAATTAAAGACAATAATAAAAGAAAGAAACAAGATGAAGAGTTAGAATAAAAACTATATCACAACTATGTGGGTGGCTTCCTTGACCCTTGGCACAATTATTTGATGCTTGAAGTCTTTTAGAGAGAGAGAATTATGTAAAGAATTGCACAAAAACGAGATCCCCAGCAATGAGAAGTTTCCCTCTTTATATAGAGCTCCTGGAGGTGAGTCTAATTCCTTTTAGGAAATAGAATCCTTATTTAGTGCGCAAAATCTTCTATAGGAGATCATAACTGTTTAGGCTTTTGATTTCCTCTTAATTAAAGGGACTCCTGTTCCCTCCAAAAATAAGTCTAGGGTCTTGGCTTAGTATGATTTTAGGAAACTCTATTGAGGCGGCCCATGTGAGAAAAAGATGGATTTGCGTTATTTGGTTACCGCATAATTCTGTTTTGCGTAGCACAGGGCGTGCTTTTATGGCACGGGGCTGGGTGTTGCTTTAGCTTCTGGACAGTCTGGCTAGTGAAAGCCAAAGGGTGTGCTAGTGAAGCACGGCGCTAATGAATCCCTGAGGCACGGGCGTGCTACCAAGCACAGGAGGGCGTGCTTTGCTGTTCTGTCACTCCCGCCTAGAATGTCATGGGCGTGCTAGGGCTTGACCGCCCTGATCCCATTTTTATGCACGCCGTGGCCTTTTGACACCACCCCATGGCCTGTGCTCTCTTCTGTCTTCCTTAATTTCCTTAGCTTCTAGCACGTATTTGTGCCTTCTAGCATGGCCTGGGCGTGTTAGAGGCTAAGTTTTTTGCCTTCCTTGTTAAAGTTCTTGTTCTTTGCGGGCCCAAATTCCTACAATTTTCTCTTAGAATCAAGCGGATTAAGAATCAAGGGAAGCTTGAACACAATTATACTTAAGAAGTGAATTAAAATTACAAATTAAAGTAATAAAAAACTTTACTAAAATTTCTAATAAAAACTATATTAAAAACACTATAAAATTAACACCTATCAAATCTTATCATTTAAAAGATATCTAGAAGTGAATTAAAATCAAATTAAAGTAATAAAAACTTACTAAAATTCTAATAAAAACTATATTAAAAACACTATAAAATTAACACCTATCAAATCTTATCATTTAAAAGATATAAAAATTTTTTATAATTACGTGAGAATAACTGAACTGCAATAAAGTTATTATCGCAGTACACAGACCTTCATTTAGTTATTTCACAATTCCATAACTTTTACAAGAAATGATTATTTTTTACAGCACACTAATACATAACCTAGGACAACCAAGAATGAAAAGAGTTGAAGAAGAGTGAACATCATAACCCCTAATTAATTAAATATTTTATTTTTACCAAACACTTTTATTTTGAATCACTATATAAATAATTAACTATTAAAATTTAATATTTAATCGCCGATACTTATTATAACAGTTAACAACTGCTAAAATATCTGAAATCGCGGAACATGGGGTTTAACTCATTTTAGAAAACCCATAAAGGTAGGCGAAAAGTTCTGAATTTGCCATTGAAAAAACGAAACAGGATATCAGCGTAAAAGTGTTTGTGCTAATTTCACCATCCAGTCATCATAAACCTTTCTTCATGTTTTATTATTTCTTTTGTTTCATCATAACAAAAATAATAATAATAATAATAGTCCAATTTGATTTTGTCACGAAGATAACCAAAAACTTTTGAATGAAGTGATTTAAGTGGCATGGAACTGATGTATGTTATCTGGAAGATATTATTATTGAAACAACATTTTAGTTTATTGACTTTGACTAAAATAAGAAGATGGAAATTAATTTGAGATATTTAAAATTTAGTAATATGTACTATTATTTTACGATGGGAAAAAAATATTATGCAATATGGAATTTGCTTTCTAACTGGATAAGCAAACTGTTGTTTCGGTTTGAATTAAACTGAATTAAAACAAAAAATATACAATTGAATTTTTTACTAGTAAAATTGAATCAGATCGAAGTTGATATCTAAATAAAATCGACCCATTTAGTTTGATCATTTTGGTCATTTTCGGCCATATCAATTTAGTTTTAAGCCTATCTGATTAATTTTATTAAAATTCAGTTGAACCAAACAATAATTTTGATTCAAATCAAATAACTGAGAAACTGAATTTGCCTTATGCAAGTTAAGCGAAATGGATTGATTCGATTTTCAGTTCAATTCATTTGGTGCTTTTGCACAGCTCTACTTTCCAATGGATTTTTCCAAGTGTAATCGATCCAACCTAACTAGACTCAATACCAATAGACTTTATCGTGCTTGCTTCTATATGGATAAATTAATATATATTTGTCAGTTTTTTTTCGGTTAAATACATAAATTCACTTTTGTATTTTCGTTAAAAAATTTTGCGCATTTCAAAATTTTTATATCCTTAAAATTACAAATGTTGGTAACATTAAACACTTCTTCATATTAATAACAACAATTTTAATAATTTTTACTTTTTATATCTGAAATTTTGATTTAATATATGGTTATAACTTTTGAAGCAATAATTTTAACATTTTAATAAATGTTTAAACCATATAACTTTTATCAATCAATATACATTTGAGCATGAAACTTTAATATTGAAGTTTATGGGCATGTAAAAATAAGTTTATAAGAGCAAAAACTCATTTTGCACAAAGATTAAAAAATTAGTAAATAAAAAAAAATTCAGGTAGCAAAACCATTCAATTGAATCAACTCTTTAAATTATTAATTAGGAGTAACTTATAATATCTTTCTGAAAAAATAATTAGGACTAACTTTAATGGTGATTCGAATCTAATTGAATCATACTGATGGAGAATAAGCATGCAAAAACGGATGTGCTTGTCAATTATGCTAATCCCCTCCCTTTTATTATTCATTCCATTAGAAATTGCAGCTTTTTTTTAACAGATAAGGACGGATATTGTGATGGGTAAAACTACTGTAAAATTTTTTTCAAAATTTCTGTATTGGTGCAGAATTTTTTCTCCACCGTTAGATTTAAAATAGATAAATATAAATCATTTGATCTAAAATCAAATGGAATGACTCGATACCTATTTACTAGATTATCAAAAGTATATTTTCGTTTTTTCAATATATCAAAAGTAGTTTATATATATCAACAGTAGTGGATTTATTTTTTATTTAATATATCTAATTTTTTGTTAGTAAACATGAAAGAAATTATTTAATTGTGTGAATTTAAATATTATTTCCAAAATAAATAATTATCTAATATATCAAATTCATTTACTCAAAATAAATTATTTAAAATTTTAATAAAAAACTATAAATTTTTATTTATTTTATTATTAAAATTTTTAGCATGTATTTATGCAATTAAAATTGTATTATATACATGATATCTCATTATCGTGTAATATAACACTTTTAATTAAGAAAACTGAAATTATACAACTCAAATGTTTACTTGAAATTTCGCTCATTTATAATATTTAATTATATAAATAAACCCATGTGTCTAAAAAATTATATAAATCGAACCATATTAATAGAATTTTATTATGTTATTTGAGTCATATAATTAGATATTATTTATGAAAAATAACTTTATATCAAAGTTTAAATAAAAAAGAGAGATTTTAAATAATTTAATTTTCTTTTCATATACATATAGATAATCCAACCATATAAGGTTATCTTTGTTATTCTTTGTTATCTTTTATATTATTTATACAAGAGTATAATAATATGAAGTCAAACCATATAAATATTATTTATATAATATCCTATAATATTTTATTATGTTTTAGTATCACTTGCTTACTCTTGCATGATGATGAGAAAAAAATATCATTTTTAATCCTTATTTTGGAAAATATTATATTTTTTTATATAACATGTTATGAAATAGAAGAGAAATAAAGAAAAAAAAAAGATGTAGTTAAGAAATATAAAAATAAACAAATAAAGTCACAGGTTTTGTAACCTACTATAAAAGATTTTTTTAGGTTTCTATATGCATAATTATTGCAATGTGTACATTATTAAAAATCTATTATGATAATTTTTTTTTCTGAAATAATTTTTATTTCTTAAGTGTTTCAGTCAAACAATTTTCTTTCATCATTTTATACATATTATATATGAAATTTACTTTTAAAAAAATAAATTATTGTATTATATGTATTTTTTATTTTTTTGTGATTACGCATATAATAGCTAGTACGACAATTATAAATATAACAATTCTTTATAATTACATTAATGACAAATGTGGAAGATTACTTAATTTATTTTTTAAATATAAAATTTAGATGAACTTATTAATGAGCCGTAAATTTCAGGTACTGAATAATAATTTGCAAAAAGGAAAAAAAAAAGAAAAAATAATGGAATATCTCGGTCATATTGCATTATGTAGAACAGTATTCATCGAATAATATTATAGGTAGATTACTAAAACTTGAACTTAACTCATTTAGGGAAGATAAAAGACACTAAAATACTCATTTGGAAGAATAAATTAGAATGATAATGACAAGTTTGACCATTTTCCATTTTAACAATAATTGCAAAAAAAGATTTTTGATTCTTTTTTGGTCTTCCACCAAATCCGAAACTCAATGAGTCAACTTGGCAAATCTTCCGCTATATAAGAGGGCCAAGCCAAACTTGCTTTACCCATCAGCTAAATTAGCTTAAACCACTTATATTATACATGCAGAAATTTCACATGGAGCCAAAAGCAGAAACCAGAGCAGGTGATGATGAGAAATGGGTTTCTGATGCTTCTATTGATCATAAAGGCAGAGTTCCTCTCCGAGCTCGCACCGGCGTCTGGAAAGCTTCTCTCTTTATCATCGGTAAGAACTGAGTTGCTCTTCTGTTCAACAGTATTTCATCAACACTTGCCATCTACTCTTTTTTTTTCTAAATCTTCTCTTCAATCATTATTTTTATTATTATTATTATTAAGAAGAAAGTGAAATTAACAGATAAATTATACTATAACCCAACGAGAAATATAAAATATTATAATTAAATTGTTGATATTAATCATAAATTATTTTATATAAAGCCCTTTTCTTTTGGATCAACTTTTTATCTTCCTTTAGAAAAGGGGGTGAAGGGGAAGAAAAGAGAGTATGCAATACATCATAACGTGTGGATTTGTGTCCTTCAACTCCAAGGCCTGTTTTTTTTTTTTTTTTTTTCTTTTTATCTTTTCCTTTTACGAAAAGGGGGGTTGAAGGGGAAGAAAAGAGTAGTATGCAAACATTCATAAACGTGTGGATTTGTGTTCCTTCAACTCCAAGGCCTGTTTTTTTTTTTTTTTTTTTTTTTTTTTAACATTGGAAAGACATAAACCATACAATAGAATTGGATTTCCTCTGCAAGATCAGAAGTTAGATTCCTAGAACAGTGTTTACAGAAAAAGACAATTATAAATCCTAAAGTAAGATTAATTTCATGTTTAATAAATATAAGGGAATTATTATTAAAAAATGAAAAGGTAGAGGCAAATTGGGAGAGAGATTAGAACCCGCAAGTTGAAAATATGCAACGTATATTTATTTGGACTTGGGTCTATCAATACTAAAAAAATTAGTACTATTTAATTAGCTAACTTGTTTGACCCTCTTATATGCCCTTTGTGTATTTAGTATTTAGTATTTAGTCGAGGATGGAATTCTTAAATTAATTCTTAAAAAAGTAAGAATTAGAAAGAATGTAGATTAAATTAATTATGCACAAGAATTGGATGGGCGACAGTTCACTACAGCACTAACTAATAAGTTAGTAGTGTTTTTAATACAATGCATATATTATTCTATATTTAATTTTTTTATATATATATTTACCATTTTTATAATATGTTTGTAGTCTTTTGCTCCCCTGTTTCATTAAAAAAAAAAAAAAAAAAATCTTTTGCTCCCCCTGTTTCATTCATTAAAAAAAAAAAAAAAAAAAATTCTTCTTGTTCTCCCACTTTTATTCAGAAAAAACAAAAAATGTTTTAAAGGGTGGTTAAATTTGAAATTCTTTGGAAAAAAAAAAAAAAAAAATCTTCTTGTCTCCCACTTTTATCAGAAAAACAAAAAATGTTTAAAGGTGGTTAAATTTTGAATCTTGGAACTCGTTCATTTCACAATAGATACTCAACTAATAAATTATTAATTGTGGTTTGATAGAATGTAAAAATTAAGTTTAATTACAGCCTATAAAATTACATTACCATATAATGATATTTCTTTTTGCATAAATAAATAAGGCATTACTAGACTTATCCCGTCAACTTTAATTTATAAAAAAAATTTGCATATAAAACAAACAAATTACTGTTGAAAAATATAAAAATTTAAGTTAATTCTGACATTATGAATATAAGTTCTTATGTAGTAAACCCATGATTATTTGTAGGATGTTTATATAGAGTAACAAGCTAATATAGCAAATAAGTAATTGCAAGAGCCATTTAAAAAAATAATACATTTTTTAAAATTAGAAAGAAACTGCTAGAGAAATAAGAAAATTATAGAATTTATAGGACTCACTTATACACATTTATTATTTATTAATTTGTCGTTAAATGTAGGACATTCTACATATAAGATTTTCCATAAATAGTTGCAGCACAATATATATACATATCTCATTTCAATCCTATAAGAATGGACAAATAAGACATTAATGACAACCCCATAAGTTGATTCCCAATAGCAAAATCAGTGGAGAAGATTTTAATGTTAAAAAGCACTGTTATCCATTGGTTGGATATGTTTCTTTCTGACTTTTAAATTGTCTTGATTCTTATCCATCTTATCACACTTTTTGCTTTAGGTTGAGACAGCACTCACAGAATATATGGTTGCAATCCAATATCAAGTGTTTAGCTTAATTATTTTACTGCTCTTTTTGTCTACTAAAAAGCTGCAAATTGAAAGTGATTCTTCTTTTACCCAATAATGCACTAATTCAGTGATCATAGGCATCTCTTGAATTATTAGAGTATAACTCCTACGTGAAATTAGTGCTACATCTGCCTTTTATCTCTACAATTATCCTTAATCTTAGTTTAATATGTATAAATATTAATATATAGTATTTGTTACCTGAATCCCATTAATTTTCATTAAGTATATTAACGTATTGAGTCCTCACTTACATGAGAAGTGAGAGATTTCGAATTTAAGTCCTTTCAATTATAAGTATTTTCACCAGTTTAATAAATTTAGAAGAGGATTATCCTGTAGTCCGTAATATTAGATCGTCAAAAAGTTTTAGTCAGTGTTAAAAAAAAAGATGGATTCTATAATTACCAATCACAAGTTGAGAACTTTTGCTCAGTATGGCCTACAACCTACTACTTTTATGAGGTCAATAGGAGTCTATAATAGAGAGTAGAATAGGTGGTATCAAGTTTTTTCCATAACATATTGAATTATACTTACCTACATCAATTTACGAAAGTATTCCTAAATCGGACTAATAAAAATAGAGATTTTTTAAATATTGTTTTCAATTTGTCTTTTTTTTAGTGTATAGTTAAAAATACTCTCGTTTTAATAAAAATTTATTTTTTATAATTCACTAATAGATTTGTAAATTTAGTCTAAATAAGTAAATCACGTATATGTTTGAAGGTAGTATAGTATTTCTCAATTATGAGTCAAAACCCACTATGAGTTTGCATGATCACAAACCGTAAAAACACAACTAATTTAACTTATTACATTTTATTTTTATGTGCGTATTTATATTTATTTCAAATGGTTGGTTGTCCTATAATTTTGCAGCAATTGAATTTAGCGAAAGGCTGATTTATTTCGGAATAGCAACAAGCTTAATAATATACCTAACAAAGGTGATGCATCAAGACCTAAAAACGGCTGCAAAGAGTGTAAACTACTGGTCTGGAGTGACCACTTTGATGCCTCTTCTTGGAGGGTTTGTTGCTGATGCTTACTGGGGCCGATTCTCCACAGTTTTTGCTTCTACCATTATCTATCTTCTGGTATCTCCGTCCCTCTCTTATATAGTTTATACTCAAAGTGAAAGAAAAAGATAAGGAATTAAAATTTGTATCAAATAAAAGAACATAGAATGACCCAGTAAAGTTTGAAAGAGACCATTAAATTCAAGTTTGGGTTTTTATGATCCATTATGATCACTGTGTCCATTAAAGTCTATCCAAAGACGAGCAATCTTTGATCATGCTCAGAATTTTTTTTAAAAAAATTGTTTATGGAAATAATTCTGCTGCTTACTCTTTTTTTTTTTTTTTTTTTTGTTTATGGAAATAATTCTGCTTGCTTACTCTTTTTTTTTTTTTTTTTTTTTGGTTATGGATTTAAACAGGGTATGATTCTCTAACAATGTCCGGAAGTTATACCCCAAGTTCATCAAGCGCATGTGTGGTGATAATGTCAAGAACCAAGGAAGATTCAGAAGTTTTTTTTTTTTTTTTTTTTGGTTATTGATTAACAGGGTATGATTCTCTTAACAATGTCCGAAGTTATACCAAGTCTCAAGGCATGTGGTGGTGATAAGTGTCAAGAACCAAGGAAGATTCATGAAGTAACCTTCTTCCTAGCCATATACTTAATCTCCATAGGAACAGGAGGTCACAAACCTGCTTTAGAGAGTTTTGGAGCAGACCAATTTGATGATAATCATACAGAAGAAAGAAAGAAAAAGATGTCATATTTCAATTGGTGGAGTTTTGGGCTTTGCTCAGGACTCTTATTTGGTGTAACGCTCATTGTTTACGTACAAGAAGAGATGGGTTGGGGAGTTGCAGATATTATTCTAACTGCAGTTATGGCTTTTTCATTAGTTATTTTTATTATTGGAAGGCCATTTTATCGTTATCGGGTTCCTACAGGTAGCCCCTTAACTCCATTGTTGCAGGTTCTTGTTGCTGCTATTAAGAAAAGAAGCTTGCCAAATCCTTCAAATCCTGATGAGCTCTATGAAGTACCCAAGTCGCAAATGGATCACCGAAGCAGACCTCTTTACCATACCCAAAAACTCAAGTAATTAATCAAGCTCCTCTCATTTATCTTTTTTACTTCTGGCAAAATTTGAACGTCCTGGTTAGTTATAATTCTAATTATATGACTGCAGATTTCTTGACAAAGCGGCTATTCTAGAAAGCAAAGAAAATGAAGCTGAGAAACAAAATCCTTGGAGACTTGCAACAGTGACTAAAGTGGAGGAGATGAAGCTTATTATCAACATGATCCCAATATGGCTAGCAACCTTACCATTTGGAGTATGTGTAGCACAAGCCTCAACATTCTTTATCAAGCAAAGCACAACATTAGACAGAAAAATTGGTAACAATGGTTTCTTAATCCCTCCAGCTTCGGTTTACTCACTAGCTGCAATTGGCATTTTAATCTCGGTAACCTTTTTCGAGAAAATCCTAGCACCAGTACTAAGAAGAGTGACCGGAAACGAGCGAGGCATCAATATCCTTCAAAGAATAGGAATTGGAATGGTTTTCTCAATTTTGACAATGGTAATTGCAGCTTTGGTAGAAAAAAGAAGGCTAGGTATTATGGAGAAAGATCCATTAAAGGGTTCACTTTCAGTAAGTGTGTTTTGGTTGGCTCCACAACTTCTTATTATAGGGTTTGGGGATGGATTTACATTAGTAGGCTTACAAGAGTATTTCTACGACCAAGTTCCTGATTCCATGAGAAGTTTAGGCATTGCATTTTACCTTAGCGTGATCGGAGCCGGGAGTTTTCTTAGCAATCTTCTGATAACAATTACTGATCATGTGACTGAGAAATATGGAAAGAGTTGGTTTGGCAAGGATTTGAATAGTAGTCGTTTAGATAATTTTTATTGGCTTTTAGCAGGAATAAGTGCAGCAAATTTAATAGTTTATATATGGTTGGCTCGAAGATATTCTTATAAAAATGTGAATAGGAATGTGGCTGTAGCTGATTGCTCTGGTGATGATTGGGCAACCTCAATGCCTTGAACTCAACTAGTGTAAAAATAATTATGACTTAAAATTCCTCTATGTAATATGTAATAGTATGTTATGTTATTTAGTCATGAAGATTTCTTGTGCAATATAATGTGTGCTCGATTACAAAACAATAATAGTTTTAGTATTGAACATTTGTACCAAAAGATTTAAGAGTTATACAATTGGTCCTATTACGTAGGGTAGGAGCCAATTTTTAAAAAAAGAAAAAAGCAAAATTAGCAGCCAATAATAGCCAATCAACCCTTTTTTTTTTTTTTTTTTGGATGATAATATTCAATCTAAAAGTTTATGTTATAATCATAGCCATCGAGCTTTGATATTTAATTTGTTGTTAAAATTATTGATTAGACTTGGATCTATCATTTTCCTTTGTTCTATAACTCTACCTATTTCTACCATTTTCATAATTCTATTGTTAGAGTTGGCATAGCCGAAAGGTAAAGCCATAAAGCAAAAGATTTGAGGTAAGTTGTCGTTTGTGTGTTGTCGGATAGATTGTGTTAGTGAAGCGGAGTTTTGCCATTCGTTGCTTTATTGTCTATTGCATAAAGAGATAAAGTTGAGAAAGAGCACAGACGCACGCATATAGGGTCCAAAGGAGACTTGGCCCATCCAAAAAAAATTCAATTTTTTAGTATTAAAAAATTGAAAAACAAATATTTTAATTTAGCTTCTCATTAATTAAAATTGTAGTTTAGTTCCCTAATTTTTTTGGGTTGGATCCATCCATGATAAAAAGAAAGTGTTTATGTGATTTTTCGCATGAAAATTTAATGGTGGTTTTAAGGTAATCATTCTGTCAATTCGATAAATTTAACTGAACTTTTAACAAATCAAATTATTTTTTGAATTAACTGAATTTAATCTAATTAAATTGGTTGAATTAACTTTTATATTAACCGCTTTGAACTAAAATAATTAATTTACACACCCCTATTTGACAAAATTAAACAAAATTGAACGATTTAATTGAATTAATCAAATTGGTTAAACCATTTACACACCCCTATTTGACTAGAGTTAGGAAATAATGTTTTTGTTTAATCTACTTGTGACATACATAGGGATATCGTATATGGTCAGATTTAGTTTACTTTTGCAGTTATTCGATTAATCAGTTTCAGTTCTAATGTCTGTTTGTAATTTTATAGAACCTTGGTTTCAATGTTTTTAATACAAGTAAAATAAATAATTTTTTACCTAAGAATCAACTATTTGATCAGATTGAATTAGAACAAATCGAATCAATTGGTTTATTTTGATTATTAAATTTACTTTAACATAGTTCAGTTTCAATAAAAAGCGATTTTTTATTTTTACAATTTTATTCAATTCGATTTAATTCAGAATTAATGTATTTGTACCCCTTATTAGCCATACATGTCATGTCGGTAAAGGGATAAGACTTGCCATTTCACCCTGCCACATTCATTGAGGCACATGCGCTCAGTGAAATTAGGATATAGATGAATTAAAATTAAAATACATGGAAAAAATTGAAATGAATTCTTAGACGGTGTATATAACTAATAAGGTTGGCTTAATGTATATTTTACCATGAACTTTTTTTGAATTATTGCAATGTTACCATAAAATCGCCTGTGTTGTATTTGCATCCTAATTATGTCGTTAAATAGCTTACCAAACCAACCTCAATTCTCGTAAGAGTTAGAATACAAGTTTGATCATCGGAAAACGTACTTTATTGGAAGATAAAAAATCTTTACGCTTCTCTTTTCAAGAGAATTATACCTCCTAATTATCCAAAAAAAGAGAACTCATCAAATAATTGTAACTTAGTTATCAGACGCAACCATCTATCAACTACATTAATTAATCAGCTGAATCAAACGGTCATTTTCTCATTCTATGATTTTATGATGCTAAATTATCAATTCAAGACGTCAATTATATACTAAAAATATCATAGTGAAATTTGACATCATAGTCCTTGGTTCCTGCCAGCTTATCAAAGTTAAGGTTTGTTATGAACATGAATTTGATGATCCATTGTCATACATCACCTCCTCATACCTTTTTGTTATCTAATTTTAGTTATAAATGGAGACTTGCCCATTAAAACAAATTTTTTTTAAAAAAAATGTAAAGTCGATATGTTGATGGAGTAACAATATCGATCTGGAATCAACCTTCAACAAGTGCAAGATCCTCAATTGTCTCTTTCGACTACCAAATATGAACGCGTATTGGTTACATGGAATGATTTATGAGCCTGAAATTCATGACAAAATTTGAAGCAGACGCACCAACTTAGGATTTATTCTTATAAATTTCACACATGAACAGCCAAGAGACACCAATTCGGGCATGTGACAAATGTGCCAAGTTCCTAATTTTATTGTTATTATTATTATTATTATTTCTTGAAGATCTTTGAATATATTCTACAGATAATGACTAAAAAATAAGTTTATGAAGGAGATATATTGAAAAGAAAAAGAAAAAGAAAAGAAAAAAAAATACAATGATCGAATATATGACAGCCAGAGAAAAACTCGAATCTTGTAGTTTCATAAAGGAAATTAGTGATTGATGTTGGATGTTGGCGAAGAATTTAGTGACAAGCTTGGAACCCTAAGTTACAGGGAGGGTCCAATCGAGAATCCACAGAGGTGGTAAACACCAACTCATTCTTTGATAGCCCCATTAACTAGAGAGTGCAGAAAAGTAATGTGAGCCAAGATTTTCTTTTGTGGCATATCAAAAAGATTGTAAGAATTGAAAAGAACGATTTCAATTTTAGTATGAGAATATTTTAGTATGCAAATTTATACTCTCTTTTGGGTTCAATTGCTAGCTTGAAAATGACCTTATATTCATAATTTTCATATTTGATATATAATTGGATTGCGACTTGCCAGTTTCAAATATAACTCAATATGGTATGCTAGTAATTTCTAAAACTAAAAGGATTTTGAAAATACCTAATGAAAAAAAAAATCTGAATGTTGACACTTTTATCAATTTTAGCCATTTTTTTAATTTCATCTATCAATATTGTGAATTTAATTGGATTGTGAATTTATTTTTTCATATCAAATATGATATGTGGTTCCATGAGATGTCAGGTCAGTGCTAAAACATCAATCCACTTGGAATAAAAAATTATTTCAAAGAATTTAGTATAAAAAATTATTCAATTTTTTTGTACTTCAAAAATATTAAAAATTAAAAATTTTAAATTATTGTTTTTTTATTTTAAAAATAAAAATTATTATTTTATTTATTTATTATATATGAATTCAATCAATAATAAACATAAAACCTTTTAATTTTTTTTAATATTAGTTCAAAATCAATATGGAGTAATTATTTATGATATATTAATTTTACAATCTCAAATTTTTAATTAAATTAAGATATACAAAAATTATTATTTATAATTAAAATTTTAAATTTTATAAACAAAAGTTTTATAAAATATAAAACTGAAAAGTTGATTTAAAAATTTCGGTCAAATTTGCAAAATTAAATTGAATCGAGCTATAAATATAAATGCCAAAACTTTCATGGTAGAAAAAAAAAATTAGAGATTTAATAATTTTTTTATTTTAAAAATTTTTAGGTATCCGTTTGTTGCAGTTGTTTGTTTTTAATTTTTTATTTGTTAGAAACATAAAACAGTTTTTGGTTACTTATTTCTCAAAACTATTTTTTTTCCTAAAATTATTTTTTCCTTTCTTTTAGTTTATGACGAAGAAATTCTTCCAACTATCAAATCTTTCTCTTATTAAGCCATTAAAGATTTTAGTTAATAATAAAAAAATCTAAAAATCTAAAATCTAAGATAAAATAATTAAAAATATTTCACACTTTTATTTTTAAATTCAAAATTAAATTAACTATCGATTATTATGTATACAATCAATTGAATAAAATATAATATCCAAGTATTATATAAATAAATAATAATAAATGACATTAAATACGCCACTTAAAGATTTTATTAGATAAATAAAAAATCTTAAAAATCAAAATCTAAGATAAAAATTAATTAAAAATATTTCACACTTTTATTTTTTAAATTCAAAAATTAAATTAACTATCATTATTATGTATTACAATTCAATGAATTTAAAATATATATTCCAAGTATTATATAAATAGAATAATAATAAAGACATTAATAATTTATATGGATATGAGAAAAATAATAATAGAATATAAAAATTGAATCACTAAAAGAGAAGGAGATGGAAAAAACTCATAGGAATTTTAATTAGAGATAATTAAAAATAGAGGATTGTATATTTATATAAATTAAATGAATTAGATAATAATAATAATAATAAAATAATTAAATAATAATAATAAAAATATAAATAATAATAATAATAATTAATACAAACTTTTAAGGAAGAGCAAGTTCTTATATTAGAATTGAAAAAAGAAAGGGAATGTTAGTAATACCAAATCAAGAAGCAGAATCTACATAATAATAATAATAATAATAATACAACTTTTAAGAAGACAAGTCTTATATAAATGAAAAAAAAAGGGAATGTAGAATACAAACAGAAGGCAGAATTACAGAAACTATTATTTGTAGTTTCATAAAATTTATTATTTTTTTAAAAAACAGTTTTCTGAAAAGTGAAGAAAAAAAAATTAAACAAGTTTAAACAAATAAGTTTTATTTTTTTTAAAAAAAAATGAAAATAAAAAATTTAATCTAAAATAAACAGCACCTAAATTTTTTATTAGAAGAAAAATTTTACATTTATAAGATTTTTAAAAATAACAGTGTTTAGTTTTTCATTTTAAATTATTAAGTAAATAAATTAATAATTTTTTATTCTACATGAACCGATGATTTAATATTGATTAGGCATCCAATGGACCCAACAAATCAAATTTAGCCACTACGTTAGCACCAATTTGACAGAATGCAAATGGAGACTAGATTTAATACGAAGAGTAAGTTCACAGCATTTATTGACAAATTACAAAAATTGACTAGAATTGGTAAAAGGTTAGGGTTTAAGATACTCTTTTACCATTTAGCCTTTTAAGAACTGGCTAGGTAGTAATCAGGTCACCAACTTGGTAGCTTGAGTAACAAAATATAGGCCCTGTTAAGCAACAATATTTTAATTGGATTAAAACACTATCTTAATTAATTACGGATTTAATAATATAATATTTATCTTAATGCTTAGAATTTGAGACAGTACTTCACATTATGATCCCAAATGTTTAGCAATTGACAAATTTTTTATGACGTCTATATCTATCGTTTGTCTTTGCCATATCCTCTATTGCAGCATATTTGTTTATACACTCTTTTGTCGTTTTATATTAAACAGCTAATCAAACTGTTATTTTTACTAAATACTTTTATTCTTAGCTGCTACATAAATAGCTAACAACTAACAATTAATATATAACAGCTAACAGCTAGTAAAATAATTGACAATTATTACAATAATTAACATATAGTAAAACAGTTAAGATTACCGAATAGGCAGTAAAAAGTGCATGCAAAAATTGTAGAGTAAACGGTGGAAAATGCAAAGGAGCTTGAAAGGTAAATGAGCTTAAAACGTAAAGGTACATTGTATTGAAAAGGTACTATAAATAGATTTAGAAGAAAGATAAATGACAATTGAATTGAAATTAGCTTGTCGTGTTGTTTGACCGTTAAAAGTTATTAGAGTTTATTCTATGTGTGCTCTTTCCTTCTTATAATTTCCTTGAAAGATTTGAAATCTTCCATTTTTCCATATTTAAGACAGCCAAATTAAATTAACTAATCTATATAATCTTCTTAAAAGATTTCGGATCTTCTTTTCCATATTTGAGACAGCCAAATTAAATTAAGTAATCCATGGACCTTAACCAAATTAATTAATTTAATTACAATGATTAAAAAATATTAATTATTATTTTGAAGCTTTTTACAGGACATGACCAAAAGGGCAAAATAATAATTAATATTTTTTTATCTTTGTAATTAAATTAAATAATTTGGTTAGGGTCCATGAATGTTTACACTAAATTAAGTTAATTGTTGAAGAAGATTAATTCGAATTCTTGTCCATTTATTAATATTAGGTGGGTCGATGATGACGTGCATCATCCATTTAATTAATGAAAATAAAAATAAAAATTTCTAATTTTTATTAATTTTTTATAAATAAAAACGCTAGCTCCAATAAAAAGAAGATTGTTAGATGGTCTCTTGAAAATGAGACTGGAGCTAGTTTTTCTCTTTTATCAATTAAGGTTTAATGTCAGTATGTCTCTTTGAAACATTAAAAGAATAATATTTTTTAATCAGTAGACTAATATAGAGATATGTACATTTAAAATGATCCCAAAATAAAATTTAAATTCAGTTATTTTGCAAACACCTTTTTTTTTTTTTTAAATAATTTGCGAACACCTTTAAATCATGAGTGGAAAAAAAAAATGTGTTCACGTACACTGTTTAAAGATTGACTTGTCCAAACCAGATTCATGATCCCCTTATGAACTAAATTAATAAAAATATAAATTTTTATTAAAATGAAAATATTTTTTATCATACACAGAGAAAAAAAAAGATAAAATAGGAGGAACAATTTTTAAAAAATTTTCATTTTTATTGATTTAGTTCAACATTGACATCATGATCCTGTCTAGAGAAGTATGATCCTAATGTATATATATTGATAAGTGGGCGATTTAGAAATGTTTTTGGCATGGATTATTTTATTTCCAAATGCTTATCTGCATGCAGCTGTGCAAGATGTGTTGGAAAGAAGTTCATCATGAAACCATCGCATTTTCAACATTTTTCTCCCACATGAAATTGACGGCCAGTTTAGGATATTTAGGCTTTAATTTATTTGCAGTGGCAGGTTTATACTTTAAATATTAAGGATAAAAAATAAAAATAAAATTTTTGGAAGACTAATAGATATATTTTAACTAAAAAATATAAATAAAAACTTATGAAAAAAAAGTTTTTTTATATATATGAGGACCGAAATAATATTGTAGAGTACACAACATGAGGTAGTCTTTCCATTTGAATAACATTCACTAAATTGGTGATAATCTTTTTGTGACGGAGAGTATTCAAATTCGAGATGTCTTACTTTTTACATCTTCCACAAAAAATAAAAAGATCAACCAGACCACATCTAATTGTCTATAAACAAAATTAAAATTTAAAAAGTTTGAAGAATCATGACCCAAGCATAAAGTAGGTAGATCATACCATTTTATAAGTGACATTAGGCATTAAAATCAAACTTGTTTTATCTCCATTACAAAGTCATTTAATAACTATTGACAAATATTAAAAATTATAACTAGATATATTGATGTAGTTCACAATTTTATTTCATTTAATAACTATTGACAAATATTAAAAATTATAACTAGATATATTGATGTAGTTCACAATTTTATTTCATTTAATAACTATTGACAAATATTAAAAATTATAACTAGATATATTGATGTAGTTCACAATTTTATTTCATTTAATAACTATTGACAAATATTAAAAATTATAACTAGATATATTGATGTAGTTCACAATTTTATTTCACAATTTTATTTCAGTCAACGCTTTCCAATCAAGAGAAATAGTAACTAGCATTCTTATCGATATATGGAACAATGATAATGAAATTAAAGTATTTTGATATCTTACCTTGAAAAAAAAATGTTATATCACATTTTCTGTAATCACATTATGATAAATACTATGGGTGGTACCGGTGAAGTGGTCACCCTTGTATTTTTTTTTTTTTTTTCCGAATAATGCTTAGGTTTAAGTAGTTTGATATATATATGTGAGTTATTATTGTCTATATTTTAGGATTTTATTCTTAGATCTAGTAATTTTCACGGTTTTTGAAATTTGTTCTTACCATTATAGTGATTTTGTTTATGATATTTTTTTGACTTGGACAGTTATGCGGAAAAAAAGTGTAGATACTCTCTGATACAAAGAAGAAATTTGAAGATAATGATATCAGACTTGTAAAAATACCGTAGAGTTGAACAATGACCATGAATATCCACCAAATGGAATGAGCAATCGCCTATAGCACATGCATTACATTTTGTCAACTTGATAGTATGGTTGAAACCAAAAGTGTGTTTTTTATTCTTTAAATGAATTGTTTATTATTATATTTACTGTGCAAGAATATAGAAATATATTTCTGCATTTTATATCTGTACATAGTTTATTCTTAATGAAATTTTTAGTTTGATTCCTTCTAAAAAAATATTATGGGTTCAGATGGGAAATAAATCATATTTTTTTAGTTGAATTTTAGTTGTGAGATAAGAAATTTAAGATCGAGAGTCGCACTATAATTGGAAACAGTGTGTATTATAAGTGTCACCACCTCACTAATATATATCTTTTTCTCCCTAAATGGTTTTAAAAACTTTGTGTTGTTATTAATCTTGATCATCTATTAACATTTATCTTTTTCTTTCCTTTATATTTCTTTCTTTTCAAGATTGAGACCTATTAATTTCTTTCTTTCTTTTTTCCTTTAAAAATAGTGAATGGCATTAGACTATTATAGATTATAGTATATTATATTAATTCACAATTTTAATATAAAAAAAAATATATATTTTTTTAAATTACAATTAAGATAATTATAAAAGATGAGATTGTCTAAAAATGAGTGTCAAAGATTGGAATCTCATCAATGTAAAAATATCCATCCTAAAGTTGAAAACATTTATAACAACTAAGGTGCAAGGCATAATTGATGAATACAAAAGCCAAATCATTAGAGATTCTTTGCTTGTGGATAGATATATATATAGCTATCAAATGGTGAGAAATGAACAAATGAAACACTATTAGGGAAAGTCATTTACAGTGGTGGAATTCATACGTTTGTGGGGCTTTCTAAGTTTGGTCCATTGTATAACCACGAAAAGAATTCTGTTCTCATGGATGCTATTCCATTCTAAACAATGACATCTTTCTTTTTCTTATTAATTATTATTGCATATTAAAAATGAAATGCACATATTTACAAGTCAACCAAGAGTTAGTATTCCTTCCTCTATATAAAGCCAAACTGCTTTTATAACAATCCACACTTGAAGGCAATAATAATAATACTAATTATTTAATTATATAGTCAAAGATCCAAATTTATGGAGCCACAAAAGACAGCAAAAACAAGAGAAGTTGATACAGAGAAATGGGTTTTTGATTCTTCTGTAGATCATAAAGGATGGGTTCCTGTTCGAGCTCGAACTGGTGTTTGGAAAGCTTCTCTTTTTATCATTTGTAAGTACTTCTTATCTGTTCTTTTGGATTAGTACTACATTAATTCTCTTTTAATTCTTTACAAGTCACATGACTAATACCATATTAGTAGAGAGTTTTAGTGACAATATAATATAAAGAGTGCATTTACATGCAAAAATGGTAATACTTTCAATTAATTATGTATTAGTTTAAAACTATATGGTTGTGTATAATTATATTTTAGGTGTCATTGAAATTTTTTTTTTTTTTTTAAATTCATTGGGAGGCCTGATAGCCGAAATAATATTACGGGCTACATAATAGGGATAGCCCTCTATTAGAGGCATCAAATTGATGACAACACTTGTGGTCAATAGGATTTAAACTCGATAACTCTCACTCATCACACAAGTAAGAAGGCCAATTGGACCACACCAGATTAGTTGTGTGATTGAAATTGAAATTATTAAACTTGTAAATCCATAATTGATTATTTTGTATGCAAATATTTAATATATGTCTTATGTTCTCTTTTGGCAGCAATTGAATTCAGTGAGAGGTTGAGTTACTTTGGAATAGCTACAAGCTTAATAATTTACTTGACCAAAGTGATTCATCAGGACCTAAAGACTGCAGCCAAAGCTGTAAACTACTGGTCAGGAGTGACTACTTTGATGCCTCTTTTCGGAGGATTTGTTGCTGATGCTTACTTGGGCCGATTTTCTACTGTTCTTGTTTCTTCTATAATCTATCTTCTGGTGATCATCTCATCTATTATTAACATTAATTGCCATTTCTTGTTATCTAATTATATTTACTCTTGCATGACTAATTATATTATAAGAGATCATCAAGATTTTAATTTCTCATACACCATCTTCCTTCCTAAAATTTAAAATTAAGGAAAAAAGAAATAGCTCAAGGAATAATTTCCACTCATTTGGTTTTCTTGCCAAATTATTATCAACAAAGAAAATTCAAATGTAATATCCCAAATCTAATTCCAATTTTATTTTTCTTGTTTGGTTGATGTAACTAAGCAGGGCCTGATTCTTCTGACAATGTCTCAGTTCGTTCCAAGTCTAAAAGCTTGTGATTCAGTTTCATGCACTCAAGCCAGAAAGGTTCATGAAATGGTATTCTTTCTTGCAATTTATTTAATCTCCATAGGAACAGGAGGGCACAAACCTTCCTTAGAGAGCTTTGGAGCCGATCAATTCGACGATGATCACTATAAAGAAAGAAAAGCAAAAATGTCATTTTTCAACTGGTGGAATTTCGGCCTTTGCTCCGGCCTCCTGCTTGGCGTAACAGTGATTGTTTACACACAAGATCATGTGAACTGGGGTGTTGCAGATGTTGTTCTTACAGTAGTTATGGCTTTATCACTTGCCATCTTCGTTATTGGAAGGCCGTATTATCGATATCGAGCACCATCAGGAAGCCCTTTCAAGCCAATGTTGCAGGTTCTTGTAGCTGCTATAAGAAAAAGAAACCTGCCATATCCCTCCAATCATTCTGAGTTACACCAAAACTCTCAGTTAGACCAAGGGAGGGTTCTCTGTCATACCAATAAGCTCAAGTAAGCAACACTAGCACGCTTTCCATTTCCATTTAACTAAGCTTGTTGATGGTCCTGATATAATCGGAATATAATTAAATCATGTCGTTAAATAGGTTATTTGGAGTACTATTTGTAGTTTGATTATTTGAAACTTTTACTGTGTTTTTAATTAAATGTGTCCTCCCCAATAATGTATTGCAGGTTTCTTGATAAAGCAGCTATTGTGGAAGGAACAGAAAATTCTGCAAATGAGGCAAGTGCTTGGAGACTAGCAACCGTGACAAAGGTTGAGGAAATGAAGCTCATTCTAAATATGATTCCAATATGGCTAGCAACTTTGCCGTTTGGGATTTGTGTAGCTCAAGCCCCCACATTTTTCATCAAACAAGGAACTACATTGAATCGAAAGTTTGGTAGTTTCGAGATTCCTCCAGCTTCCATTTACTCACTTGCTGCCATTGGAATGATAATCTCGGTAACCTTTTACGAGAAAATCCTAATACCAATAGTAAGAAGGGTGACAGGAAATGAGAGAGGCATCAATATCCTACAAAGGATAGGAATTGGAATGTGTTTCTCAATTTTGACAATGGTAGTTTCCGCTCTGGTAGAAAAGAAGAGGCTAAGTGTTGTAGAGAAAGATCCATTGCAGGGTTCGGTTTCAATGAGTGTGTTTTGGTTGGCTCCGCAGTTTCTGATTATTGGTTTTGGAGATGGATTTACATTAGTAGGGCTACAAGAGTATTTCTATGACCAAGTCCCTGATTCCATGAGAAGTTTAGGCATTGCGTTTTACCTGAGTGTTCTTGGAGCTGCAGATTTCCTTGCTAGTCTAATAATAATAGTTCTTGATCATGTGACTGAGAAATATGGAAAGAGTTGGTTTGGGAAGGATTTGAATAGTAGTCGTTTAGATAACTTTTACTGGCTTTTAGCAGGAATGGCTGCTACAAATTTGATAATCTATATTTTGTTGGCTCGGCGGTATTCGTACAAAAATGCGCATAAAAATGTGATAGTGGCTGATTGCCCTGGTGGTCTTGATTGTACAACTGCAATAGCTTGACAGTTGTGACAGGTGCAGGAATATAGAAATAGTAACCCACTTATCAATTGAAGGTTCTTGTGCGATGAATATGTTGCTTTGATTTGAAGATTTCAACTTCAAAGATTATCATACTCTTTAGTTTCTTGCTGTTTGGACAATTAAGAAAAACAATTGAATTGAGAGAATGCATCAAAAATATCATACGGTATAAATGATGTACAAAAATATCATTTGAAATCAACAACTTCTTTTGTTTTTTTTTTTTAATTCGCAATGATTTTATTTTAGTTTTTAGGTTCGAGATCTTGATATTTTGTTAAATAAATTAAAACTTTATTTTTTAAATTTAAAACATAATATTTTGTCCATTTTAGTTGTTGACAACATAAAAAGTGAGCCTCTATAAATTGACCCCCATTCTAACTCGTGCATCGATCACTGCCCATGGCCACAAATTTTTGTCTACTGAGATTTACTGAATATTACTTTTACACTCTTAAAAGAACGACTAACTAAAATTGATAGCCATGTAGCATCGGATGTAATTTGAAGGAAACTATAAAATTATTTGAAATCAGTGCGACCAAAATAGCAACTAATACGCACCAAATGAGGCAATAAATAGCAACAAATATGATAATTGGTTACTAAATTTCATGGAAAAAAATTCACATGAGAATTATGACCGTCCCGTGACTATTTAACGATGGCTAGAAAGTACTGTAAATTGAACGACATAATATCATTATAAATGAGTAAGTCATGAAATTTACTTCCACGAGACCTAATTGACTCGTGCTAGATCTATCATCCATTTCACTATAAAAAAGTTTTTTCTATTTATTTTAATTTGAATGGAATTTATTTCCCAACACACTTAATTGTCGTAGTTTTTATGTATAGTTGATTGATATTATTTGACTTCTAATTATAATTAAATAATTATATTTATAATATTTTTAGAATACTAACTCTAATTATACAATAATTGAGAATTAAAATAGTTATAATTATAATCTTTATGTATAGATAATTCATACGTATGAGATCAATGTATTTTAATACTAGGTATTACATATTTATTTAGTTATTATAATAGTAGATATGATTATAATATTAAGTGAAATAATTATAATTATAGTATCAATCATAACTATAATGAAAAACACAATAATTATAATACTATTAAAATATTAGTTGTGATTATAATATTTTGATTATAGTACTAGTTATAATTAGAATGTTTATGATGATGATATTAGTTATATTTCTTGTTTAATTTTAATATTATGACTAGTTGGTACGTGTGTTTTATCACAATACTAAATATTATAATTATAGAATAGTTAATTATAAGTATTATAATAGTTATCTCAACTATTTACATATAATTATTTTTTATAACATATTTCACATATAAATCCATGATATGATGTCATCTATTTAATTTAAATAAAAATTATTATTCTTTATAATTATACGATAAATATTAAATTATTTACATAAAAAATATTATGTAATTAACTATGTCAAAATAATAATTATTAAAATATTCAATGCAATATACTTATTTACCATAATGTTTATATGAATATAATTTTATTTATCTATTTAATAATATTTTATTTTACTTATAATAATTTAAGCAATAAGCTTTCTCTCTTTTTTTTTCTTTTTTCTTTGTTTGAAAAATTAAATATGTCCTTTTTTATAAAATATCAAATATGTCTTTCCTATTTTAGTCTTTTGCTCTTTTTAGTGAATTATCAACTTATCCATTTCTCATATAATTATAACCAAACAAAAGAATAGGAATAGAATTCTTCTTCCATGTTGCATACCAAACATAAGATATTCCTATTCCTATTCCTATTCCATTATATTTTTCTATTTCATTCCATTCGTTATACCAAACTTAGTCTAAAAGTTTGGAGTAAATAATAGTTAAACCAATGTAGAAAACAAATTGATAGAAAAAATAATAAATAAATTGGAAGTAGAAACATTATTTCGTAATTTATAGCTTGTGCTGACGTTAGATATTACAAAACAGTTCGTTTGTTTTGTCTTATTTACAAAGTTTCTTTATTTAAATTTAACCAATAAGGTAGTTACATGAATGCACAAACCAAATTCTGATGAAATAAGGTTTTTTTTTTTTAATTGAATCAATAAACTATTTAACTTATTAGATAATAAAAAATAAAACTGCCCTATAATTATAATATTACCCCATATGATACTTTTTATTTTTTTTTAGCAATCGGCTTTTAATATAACTTCTTAATCATTCAGTTTAATAAATTGTTAATTCAAATTCAACATTCAAAATTCAGTATAAATAAACTACTTATAATCTAATTTATCTAATAAATTTGTTATAAATAAATATAGAATCATTCGTATATTTGCATAAACTAAATTTACAACTCTCATAACTTCTAAATCAAGATATAATATCAAGTACCATAATGGTAGAGTGCATCTCTAATCCACACCTAAAAAAAAAAAAAAATGAAATCATGAAATCAATTTTTGTCCTTCAATTGTTAATTATTTATTTACCCCTTCTTAACTTTCTTTTTGTTTTTGTTTTTCTTAATCTAATAGGATATAATTGTTATTTCAAATTTATTTTCTTTCTACTTCTTTTACCTACTCCTCCAATTTGTTCTGAAATCAAATTGAAAAGAAATTGAAAAAGTGTGTATCAAATTTGGGCCCCTCATTTTTTTGTCTTGAACAGGACCAAAATTGAAAGGGACCGCTTCTTGTTTCGGGCCCAATCTAAGAGGTTTTGGATTTGAAATCAGCCCAAGATTGTGGGTTTAAATTTAAAAAAATAATAATAAGAATAGAAAAAGAAATGATTAAATTGGAATCAAGACCAAAATTATCAGGCTTTTTGTAAACGAAATATCAATCTGAAATCGATTAATTGGAACCAAACACAAAATTTTAAAAATCAATTTTATCCCTAATTGCACGCCAAGACATAGTCTAAAGATAAGTGTATATACGAACTGATAAGAGATCTAGATTCAAATTCTCTTCCCAGCACTAAAAGAAAATTCTATTCCTGATTAAGATGTTAAACCATTAATTTATTGAACCAAAACTGTTAATTTAATGAACCAGCCAATCCCATTAAACAATAAGGAAAAGTTAAGGATAGAAAAAGAGAGCAAAATTGTGACGAAGAAAAAAAAAGGGAGCGCGTGTGCATAAACATTAAATAGAAAGAGAAGGGAAAATAAAATTAGTTTTAATTTAAACAATTCATATTTTGATTTATAAAATTTTACTTTTATAGCTTTCATTCCTTTACTACAATTGCTGCCCTACCAACACCCACAGAATTATTATTTGCTCTAGTATTTAGTATTGCTATGACAAGAAAAAAAAAAAAAAAAAAAAAAAAAAATAAAACAATTCATATTTTTGATTTATAAAATTTTACTTTTTATAGCTTTCATTCCTTTACTACAATTGCTGCCCTACCAACACCCACAAATTATTATTTGCTCTAAGTATTTAGTATTGCTATGGACAAGAAAAAAAAAAAAAAAAAAAAAAAAGAAAAAAACAAGGTTGGGGCAGCATATATAATGCAAATAATAAAAACAGTTTTCAGAAAAAAGTGGTAATAGGCAACAATTAGATCTCTCCTCCGTTTGATTTTATAAAACAATTTAGAGAAAAATATTTTATACAATTTTTCTATTGTTTGGAGGCGTCCAGGATAATAAGCCAATAGAAATATTTTCCTTGTAAAAAAAAAACTAAGTAAAATGACTTATTCTTTTCAAGAGGAGAAAATATTTTTCGGACATTAACAAATTTATTACAATCTTATAAATGCATATTTTCTAATTTATTAATCACTGATAGCCACTATTACCACTCATCGTTCACTATCAGTCACAGTTGGCCACCACCACCGGTCACCGACGATATTTATAATTTATTATTTTTAAAATTTTTTTATATTTAACAATAAAATTTTTAAAATGCGAAATTTCTATCATTATAATATTTTTATAGTTTTATGAGTTAAAGATTTTAATATTTTTTAATTAATTTTCAATAATACAACCAAACAATAAAAAATAAATAATTTGTAAAATATTTTTCTAGAGTAAATTATTTTTCAGAGACAAATGGATAAATTTTAAAACTAAAGTGTTTCTCCTCTTTATTTACACTTGAAACGCATAAAAATAATTTTAGAGATTAATAATAAATTTACTTATCATTAGGTGTTTTTTTTTTTTTTTTGAAAGGCATCATTAGGTTAATATTTCAAGAGTCAAAAGCCTATTTTACAACACAAGAAATCAGATTCAAATTCTTATATCTCTCTTAAATAAATTCAAAATAAATCTACCATTAATCCTATAAAGGCCATACATCTTGTAAAAGTAAAGAATACAAATTCGACGTCCGTAACGCATATTTACTAAAAGACTAAAAATTTTTACTCTCTATATCTAAAAGAAATATTACCCCTTCTAGTTCTATAAAAAATAATAAAATAAAATTTCATTCGTATCTCCCAAAGAACTTTATTCATAAGATTAGATTTTATCTGAATATTATTATCAGTTTAAACATAAAACTCTACGTACAAACAAAAAAAAAATTCACAATATGCAAAAGAAAGTAAAATTATTCTTTTATAGAAAAAAAATAGAAAACATAAAAGTAAAAGCTCTTGTAATAATAAGTTACCCAAAATCAAATTTCAAATAATTATAATTTTTTTTTATCCAACCAAAAGTATTTAACTTTTTGCCCTCAAACATAGATTTGTTTTCAATAAATTACTGAATTTAAGATTATTCGAATAATGGCCCTTTAGACAAACCCATTAACAAAGCATTTCAAAGACTATACTGGCGATTCAACTTTATTGATAGAATGATGGTCTTAATTCTTCTTCTTGCGAAACACCATCATTTCATCCCCTCCTCTCTCACTGTCATTTCTTGCCTTGCACATTAATCAATCACTCAAAAAAAAAAAAAAAAAAAAAAAAAAAAAAAAATCACTTCCAAAAAAAAAAAAAAAAAAAAAAAAAAAAAAAAAAAAAAAAATTGGACAGCTAAACAAGATTAATATTACTATTAAAATAAGGATAATTATTTAAAATAAAAAGGAACAAAAAAAAAAAAAAAAAAAAAAAAAAAAAAAAAAAAATTGGACAGTAAACAAATTAATATTACTATTAAATAAGGATAATTATTTAAATAAAAGGAACAAAGGATAGAAAAAGAAGAATTGCGGAGTCAAAAAAGGTATGGGTATTCTTGTAATTTTTGAGAAACTTTCCTTCATTTGGAGAGAATTTATTTATCATTTTGCATCCTTCCATATTTTCCGCGAGGTTTCAAAATAAGAAAAATCAAATTCCTACTTTTTTCCATCTCAATTTTCCTCTCAAAGAATCCTTCAATCCAAACAAGCTGTGAAGGTTTATTTGGAAACAGATAAAAGAAAATAATGGAAGAATAAAAATAATAGGAAAAAATAATCAATAATTGTCAATTTTCTATCATTTTGTTTGGAAATAATGAATAGAAATAAATAAATTTATTTTTCTTTATTTGAAAGTAGTAAAATTTTAAAGGAAATAAAATGTTACTATTGGAAATTATCAATTATATCTTGCTTAAATAGTGGTTATTGAAGGAAGGGCTAAAGTTTGTTAATTAATTTGGCTAATTAGGTAATTTAATAAAAATAAGTGAAATTTATACTTTCTTCTATTATTTTCTTTCCAAATTAGAGATATTCAAAATAATGATTAGTCCTTACGGATTTGCACCCTGCTCATCCTTTAGCAACTATTCTCTTGAATATTCAGAGTTTTTTGGTTCGAGATTGAGAGTGCTTTTTTCGTCATGTTTACTGGAAAACCAATCTTGCGGCTAATCATCTGGTTAGATTGGATCATTCTATCCCTTTCTTATTATATATTTGGGATTCTAGTCGTATTTTATTATCCCTGATTCTTAGGGCTGATGCTTGCCGTATCAGCTTTTTGAGTAGGTATTTTCTTTTTTGCTCTTTTATATAACCAAAAAGAAAAATATATATAAAGACCTGAAGAGAAAATACATGAATATTGTTTCCTTCAATTTTTTCCTCCTCATCTTTCCCAAATAAGGGAAAGTTTCCCTAGATATTTTCCATAATTATGCTTCCTTCAAATACATTAATATTGCTTCAATATTTTCCTCATCATCTAAAATGATATGTGGTTCTAAACATAATATTTATTTTTTAAGAATAATTTGTATTTTGAAAGCATTTTTCAAAATTACAAAGAAAATTCCATACCCCAAATACAAATGTCTAAAACAAGATAATGCATTCAAATGTTGTTACCAATAATTAACTTTGTATGGTATATTTGTGAAGCGACAAAATATAAGAAATAGAAAGAAAAGAGTTCATAAAAGCCCCAAAATAATCTTCTTTATGGTTTAATTCAAATCTTGATTAATGTAAGTCCAAATTCTGCACTGCCATTTATTTTTGTTTTATTGCTATTAAGAACAAATCTTTTGCTAAAAAAATAATATAGAACAAATTCTTTATTTTTATCACCAACAATTAAATCATTCCATTTTCACAATTGAAATCGAATGATCAATAATTATAAAATATCTATGCAATTATCAAAATCTAATTTAAAACTAATCTATTTTGACACTAAATGCACCCAGCGCGCCACACTCGGCACGCCTTGATTAACCGCAAACACCATATAATAACCGGGTGGAGCAACGGCCCCATTAGGCGGCGCAGTGCACCCGATCCTATACCGGCCGTTACCGTCTGGCACAGAGGGCAAAACTGTCAATTTAACCAATCTTTGTCCTTGTGAGAACGAATGCGTTGCAAATGGTGCACTCCCGAAGTTTACTTCTACAATCCCAACAACAGGCAACGAAACCGATACGAATACATTGAAAACCTCTCCGTATCGTACCGTATCAGGAATTTCTTCAATTACCGGTCGAACATTGGCCCTGTCAGGTGACAAATATTCCGGCGAAAAAGCTTCGATTCGTAATTCAGTTGGAAATTCAGCTTTGAATTTGTAGAAAAAATGTGGATTACTTCCAGCCAGTAATACCCGCCCATCCGGTAACAAGTTAGCTGTTGCATGATACAATCTGGGCACCGTTCCCGGATTCAACGTCATGAACCTTAAGCCAACGGGTTGATCCGGTCTGTACAAAAGTGGATACAGACACGGGTTTGATGCCATTTCGAATCCTTGGGTCCCAGCTTGAGCTCCATTTATAATTAGCACTTCTCCAGTTGGTAGCATAACCATATCGCCCATGATCCGCCCAAATGGCATATTCTCCATTTCCCAAACGGGGTCGGGTGACGTGGCAACCATCCGTCCACAGCTACCGTGTGCAGGAGTGTCTGTGCTTTTCTCGATAAAAGCTCCATATTGGGCCCCGCCACAAATAACAATCACAGCCGTTGAATAATCACCTTCTAGTGCTAGCATAGTTGATGAACCCGCTGATGGATAATTGCGGGGCCCTCCATCCAGCGGTGGATATTCTCTGATAACTTTGTTAACCTGGTGATCATACAAAACTGCTTTGTTGTTAGCAAAGATAAAAAGATGGCCGCTGGGGAGGAGATGGACGTAAGGATACAAGTTATCCATCTGACGGTCTTCCACGTCAGAAAGAAACGGGAAAGAAACGGCGCCGTTTCTCGGTGGATAATACTCTACAGTATTTGCTCCTCTACCTCCAACAATAATCACCGAACCGTCCGGTAATACTTGATTCGTAGCATACCATCTTCCGTCACTCAATTTCACATCATCAAGCTCCACCCAATCACACAACCCGTTTGGGTCACAAGGTTCGAACTTCCGGATCTTTGTAAATCCGTCCAAGTCACCCCCGGTGTGTAAGAGAGTACCGTCAGGGAGAAACTGACCGGATGAGCACCAAGTGTCGGTGAGGATCATTAAAGGTCGAATTTGTTTGGTTTGAAGATCCAAGAGAACGGAATGTGCATAGCAATCGCGCTTCAAGATGGCATCGTTTTTGTCAAAGCGACAATGGCCTTTGGGCAGCATTTTCCGAGATGGGCCAATGTTAGTCCGGTCGAGAAGAACAACGGTGTTAAAGCGGGTAACTGCTGTGTGCATAGAGGCTATGCCGGCATTAGGGACCAACAGCTCCCAAGTGCCAGGCAACTGAGCGAGTGTCGAAATTATGGAACTGAAATATATGAAAATAAGAAGCAGCCATTGTAAAGAAGAAACACTATCCATGTGCGAGAGAGAGAAAGGAGGCGGAGGAGGAGAGTAAAGAAGCTTATGGTAAGCTTAAAAGGCTTTTAGCAAAGGAAAGTGAATTTTTATACACAAAAAAAGTGGATCAGAGTGAATTATGAGCCGTTGAAGATGACGAATAAATTGTACGTATTGAAATACAAAGGCTGCCGTGGGGCCAAAAGAAGAAACGAAGTGTCGGCCGTAGGAGACTTTGAGAAGACACGTAAGTGTAATTTTCTGCTATGTGGAAGATGGGTGGCGTAAGCAGAAAGCGAACAACAAACTGTAGAAGCATGGAAAGTGGGGCCGACACGTGCTTGGAAGTGAGACATTTTAGTCTGTTTTCTTTGTCTTTTTAATTATGTTAAACGGGGAAGATGAAACGGATGAGGTGAAAGTGTGTTAGCATTTGACACATTATATTAGTAATTAGTTTCGTCTATAAAATTTTAAGCCTGTGGAAGAGAAATTGTTTCAAAAAACTTATTATTTCTTGTTATTATTAGCACGGATTTAATTGTAAACTGTAAAATAAAAATGATAAACTCTAATTAATTTAAAATTTAAAATTAAAATCTAATTGTTGTTGCTGCAGCTATGATATCAAGCATGAATTGTCCAAGCACTCCAAATGTGTGGAGTTTCTTCACTAAATAGCAAATACTTTGTTTTGTTTGGGCACGTGTATAAATTTGTCAAACTTGTGAATAATGGATCAGCTTTTCAAGATTATACTTGATTGATTACCCAGACGATTTGATTTTTATAACGAATTAAAGCTGTCAAAATCAGTATTTTCCTAACCAAACAATCGAGATAATAACAGGGTCTAGAAGTGCCGATTGCTGCTGCTGGCTTGTGACTGGCGAGTACTGAGTAGTGAGTAGCATCCATGGGGCCTAGCCTAGGTATCCCACGTGATTCAAAAGCCTTTTGGCAGGTAATAAAAAGTAGCTTTCAACTATTATCTCAATTATTATTATTCTCACCCTGTGGACCGCGGAGTAATGAAAATAAAGTCACTCTCCAATAGTCCAATATTATTAGGTGCAGTAATCCTGCTCGCCCAACATTATACTGAATAAGGTTAAAACGCTTTTACTAGGAATTTACTCCATTTATTTATAATATAATATTGAACGTTCAATTTTTTATTTTAAAATTTAAAATTTTTTTAGATCAACACATTAATTTAGTAGTTATGAGGAAAAGGTGAAATAATTAATATTAAATTTGAATAGTATGGACAACATTATATATGTTTGAATTGAAAAAACAAAAAAAGGAATCGTGGAGTGAAAGCGAAATTGAGCGAATATAAAGAAAGATGGTCCAATAACATTATCCCTTTATAAAAGCTATGCTAAGTTCTGTAGCTGGAATCATATATATGTTCTCTATAGAGTGATTAGGCATGAGTGGACATTGCTTCTTTGGTAAATATTTAAATAATCTATAAAAAAAAAGCTTTTTTTTTTTTGTCCTTTTGGGGCAATATAATTAAAAAAAAAAAGGAATTCTTGATCTTTGCCAAAAAGCAAAGAAAGAAAAGAAGGGCAGGATATTTATATGCACAAGATTATATTTGATTGGATGTAATACAATACAATATAATATAATTAAAAATGTAATGCTATGAAAAATATAATAGAATGTAATATAATTAAGATTTTATTACTATATTTGATAATATAATTGAGAAAATTTATAAAATGTATCACCGTTCGGTTTTTATATTTGTTTATAAATATATAATGCAACGTAATTAAAATTACCACCACTAAACATACCACCACCACTCCTTCACCACTCCACCGCCTCAAACACCATTGTTCCACCACCATCACCTTAAATAATTTTTTCATATTTGATAAATGAAAATAATAAATAACAACTGTATCAAAGATATATATATATATATATTCTATAAATTTGAAACCATTCAATTCGTACTTTATTTTATTTATATGAAAGCAATAAATTATAGAATTTGATTTGACATAATAACTTATCATTTATTCGTGGAATCATATATTCAATATAAGTAAATTTTTTATATGAAACTAACATCAACAAGATGTGAATTATTACAAGTTTGATAAATAATTTATTTCATTTTATTTGGTCAAAGTATTACACAATAATTTTTTTTCAAACAACAAGTTTGATGAATAACTAAGTTCCAAATTGCTCACTTCTAAGTATAGCCTGTCTATTTTTTAACAATAGAAATTTATTCCAATTTTCATGCGGATATAGAAACAATAATCAATATTTATTTGAATAATATATTTTATACCCTTGTATGTAATTAGCTCAATGCCAGTATTCAATTAAAAAATTTATTATTTTAATTTTCAACTTCTTATTGGTTCGTTAAAAAAGAGAGTAAATCAAACTTGATTATTTTAATTAAATTCAAATGAGTTTTATTAAACCATTTTGAACTTACTTATGACATTTTTGCAAATATAATACTATCAGTAAATTTTCGTAAATCATAAAACCAAAACCAAAATTATTGTAATTAGAAATTCCGTAAATGAGAAAAATGTCTCATTATTAATAGGTTGAATATTGTCAATTGAGTCGACTATTAAAATTGAATTTACTAATAGTGATTTTACCACTTACTATTTTTACATATTCAAATACATACATGAAATATAAGATCTAAATACGTAAGTGGTAGAGTGGTTAAGGTGGGTGGTGATGGTCATAATGACGGTGGTGGTGGTTGAGGTGGTGGTGGCGGCGGTAAGTGGCGGTGGTAGTTGAGGTGATGGTGGTGGAGCAGTGGTGGTGTGAGGGTGATGATAGAGTGGTGGTGGTGGTGGTGAGGGTGAGGGTCATGGAGTGGTGGTGGTGGTGGATTAATGGTAGTGGTGGTGGTGAGGTTCGTGGAGCAGTGGTGATGGTGGATTAGTGGTGGTGGTGAGGTTGGTGGAGCGGTGGTAGTGGCGGTGTGATCAAGCGATGGTGGTAGTGATGGCTAAGGTGGTAGTGTTGGTGATACAGTGGCTAGGGTGGTGGTGGGTGGTAGTGGAACGGTGATGGTGGTTGTGGTGATGAGGTGGTAGTGTTAAATAGCCTTGAATGGTAAAATTTTTTGTTGAGGTAGCTTGATGTAATTGGTATTTTATTTACTTGATGTAATGACAATACATTTGGCTTTTGATGTAATGAATATTACATCAATTTAAGTGATGAAAACTACATATGTAATTTCAATTAAATTACATTGTCAAAAAAATGTTTAACCAAATAATATAATCAATCACATAACGTAATCTCCATTCCTTACATGATTGATTACATCAAATCAAACATAGCCCAAAAATCTCACTCAATTTATCCAAAAGTTAAATTTGCCTCAAATTTCATTTCCCTTCAATTTTAATTTGATGGGTTGGTATCTATGTACTTACTATTCAAATATAATAATGCCAATTTAGCGACGGAGCAGCTGGAGGTGGTGGTAATCGAGTAGCATGGTAGTATGGTAGGGTGGTGGCTGTTCTGGCAATAATGAAGGCTGTTATGGTTGAAACTACGAACACATAGAATTCATGTGTTTAGAAAGCCTAATTAAAATAAACTTTTCATAACTCATAAATATTTCTCTTGTTTAGGTGTTTAAATTAATAGGAGTATTTACAGTTCGATTTGATTAGGTCTAAAATTTTATCTGAACTAAATTTATACTAGCAGTTTAATCATTAATTTTTAAATTACACTGAACTTCAATTAATTTTTAATTCGATTATAAAATTATAATTAAAATAAGTGAAAATAATTATGTTAAGAAAAAAAATGATTTTTTTGTGAAAAACATGACTTTATGTAAGGAAAAAAAAAATGTGGAAAACAATTTAAACCTTTTGTCCAAATCTCAATTAAATTTTAGATAACTCACCCATTTGAATTACAAAACTTTATTTTTCAATTTTCTCCAATAACTTCTCCATAAATTTTTTCAAGTTTTCTACAAACTTAATTTCCTTTAAACTAGAATTATTCCGAGACTTATACTCATGCAGATTCGGTCTGTCCAATTAAAGGCTGCTTTAAATTTTAAGGGATATTATAATAAATATTATATTTTGAAACTTTATTTTTTAAAAATTGTCAGTTTGTCCTTAAATATTAAAATAATATTATTTTTATTATTTATTTACTATTTTGCCATTTTATTATTACTTTTATTACTGTCATTGTTGCTGTTGTTGTCGCCGTAGCTTTTATTGTCATCGCTGAAAATTGATCGAGGATGAAAATTTGTCACCTTAAGTCAGTTGCTGTCGCAGGTCGTGGTGGTTGAATTACAGAAGCATTTCTTTTTGAACGTTACTTTTGGTATTATTTATTTATTTATTTACCAAAATAGATATTATGTTAATTTCTAAATCTTTTTCACATTTTTGTTTAATTTAAAACTTTATTTCTGACTTTTGTTAAGTTGCCTTAAAATTCAATATGCTTGTTATGATGCCCAATTTTTTTTTTCTATGGTTTAGTATGGGCTTAGGCTTTCAACCCGAAAGGTTGGGTGAGGCTCATACACGGATTTAACGCTACAATCCAACTAAGGCCCAATCTACCATGCCTTTTGAATACTTCCTTCTCTTGCAAATAAAGCTTAAATGGGGAAAGAAAATAACAATACTGCAAATGCGCATGAACATTTTTTTTCCGGCAAGTATTTCAAGACCATTTCCGGCTTTCAAACATAAATTTAATTTTATTTCAAAATTACTAACTGCTCTTCTTTATAAGTATCTAAGCTTACAAATGTACTTTACTATTTGAACAAATCCTTCGGCATTAAAGCGAACAATTTTTTTTTTGAAAAAAAAAAAGACTGCTAAGTATGTTACTCATTGTTCTCGTCAGCTCGAGCCACCGGTCAAGTGTTGACATATCGATTTAAAACACCTCCATAGGGCGCACCGACTGCCGGAGCACTGATGTCCCTTACTGTAAGATCATGGCGTTGCGGTTCTCAATCTATGATAACAAGAGCCCGACTTGAAGAAGTCCACTTTCAGTGGCCAAACTCCTCGGCAGCAAAATTAATATTTAGA